AGTCCAAAAAGCACTGTTATGAACTGATTCACAAGGCGTTTGGGCGTGTAAACATTTATTGTGTCCATAAAAACTGCCTTAGCTACGAGTAGGTCCTATGTGACGGAAAATTTCGCATTCGTTTTTTGACCGTGGCAGACAATGAGGTACATAAATAGGCGACGATTTGGACTTAACAGTAACTCGCGCGTGAACTTGCTTATACGGAAGTAGACTTGTGCCATATCCACCTCATTCTTCTAATACCCACACCATTCCGATACAAGAAAAAGTTGAGACTATAGGGGACGGATGTAGGTGATGTTGCCCACGTGTATGCTGCCTGCGTGCACGTGCCATAGACCGTCTGGTTCCTAACTCTATTTGTATCAAGCTTCATTCATGTGTACCTCGGCTCCCACACAAGTGGGCGGATCATAGCAACCACATAAAGGAGTCATCGTAACGTACCCCTCAGTACTCTGAAGGACCAACTTATCCCATCGTGTGTCAACCCTTAAGACCCAGACATTTCTTCGTCGTGGTGATTCTAAGCGTGCGATGTCGGTTATAACGAAAAATTACACGGATTTGTGACGAGGGGACGCATCACAGGACCATCAGCACTTTCGTTTCGCTTTCTCAAACACTGGTTGTCTGTCTGCAGATGTCAGTCCGCTGGAAATCAAATTGGGCGCGTGGCTGACCTGACGTGAAATCTTTTGTCTGAGACGTACGCGCACGTGTGCCGAAGTAGCTGGCTACGCACACAGACCCAGAGCGAGTTGCTCTTCTTTCTTACTCGACGAATCGAATTAAATTGCTGTCTGTTCTAGTAGCTGGCACTCCTAACCATGTCATTATATCTCCATCTCATTTTCCCGACAGTGATGACCTTGATTTCGGTCGACTGTTTAATAGTCATATGGTTGGTATACATTGTTCTTGATGATTGGCAAAAGTGATTACGTCTCATATTACCTGGTTATTGATTAGCCTAAGTATCAGGATGGGATAGGGCACTGGAATATAGAGGTACCCCTATTATGAGTGGCCCTGTGTTTAGTTGCACGAGGGGTTGCGATTAGGGTTAATTTTGGGATTAAAGTTAGGGCATAGAAATATGTAGCTCTCTGGAATTCAATGCAGGCCACATGTATTAGGAGTGAAGCCTTTATTTCCCTGTCCCACTTAGAATGGCAACGGAAGTTTTCGCTGGTTGATAATATAAAGTTCGTTTGAAATAACGTTTATCTCGCACATCTTTTGGGAACTATTCGAAATGCTCCTTAGTAAAGTCTCATTTTCAAATATCTTTACACTATTCGGCTCACTAACCTCCCTATTAACATCTTATAGAATCTGCTCTCGAGAAGGTTCTCAGTCCTCCGTAGCATATTCGGTCCTTGAAATTCCTTGCACGAGTCTCCAACGTCTTAGATGTCTTTTCCGCATGTTCACATTCTGATATCTTCTCTTTTTACTATTTCCCAAACACCGCTTTCATGGAAAATAAAGTACGCCTTCTCCTAACCAGGTTTTCTGAAGAAACCGGCTGCAATTAGATGTTAATTAGAAAGGAGGAAGAAGGTGTTCGCTCTTAACACCCTCATTAGGCATACATATTTGGATTGAAATTAACAGCCGAATGCGATTAGTCTCGGGTTTTCAACCTATGCCACGCAAACGAGGTGGATTTGAGGCCAAAAAGACACCATTTATAGGGTTGACATTCCTATGCTAGGCTTAGAGCCTCATGAATCAGTTCTGCCGTCGCATTGCTCTAAAACACTTGTCTTTTCCCTTTGCAGACTGTTGACCAGTATTGGCCCACTGCCCCACGCAGTTAAATGCCTATGCTGGCCGCGATCAATACACATTTGCAAATAACTGGAACTCGGGAGCTTCGGAGGACGGCATATGGCATAAACAAAGGTGACCCAGTGTGTCCTGGTGACATGCAGTCTTGTCCGAGTTCGCGATATCAAAAATAACTAAACCAAGGATCTCTCGTCTGTCAGACACTGGTTTTCTTCAAACCTATGTGCGCCTCCAGAACTAACTAAGTCTCCTGCGGTCTCTGCACAAAGAATCAGTTGTCCGATCCAAATCTCTAAATTTCTGCAAATTAGCTTACATGCTTGAAATGTTGGTATCCTAAAAAAGTAAGTTCCTTCTCAGCGTTAAAAAAGCATAAATGTGCTGAAAAGTCTGAAAAACATTTAGAGTTTTGTATCTTAACGAACGATTAATCCAAAAAGTGGTAGCATAAACTTCGAGGTGTTAGCTCAAACTCCGAAGTTAAGTTTAAAGAGGTAAATGTGCTATTCCATTTAGCTGTTCGCTTTGAAACAAAAGCCGTTGGAGATGCTTGCTGCAGGTTTGAGTAACAATTTGCCAGCCAACCTGAACGGCATACGTGCAAGTTGGGGGTTGAGGCTAATCTGAAGAAATACACGACTTGGCCCAAGATATGGTTAGGCATTATGAGTCATTCATTTTAATGCAGCCAATAGATCTGTTACAGACGAAGAAACTTCAACAGTCTCTATTTTCACTTTCAATGCAGTGAAAACCCCCTCAGCCCAAAGTTTTTGGTGGGCGGTGGGTCACTAGAGAATTTCTTTTAACAAATAAAGAATATAGATATATCAAATCACCACATTTAATCTTCTAACCTACGCCATATTAACCGCATACGCAACTACAATAGGTTACAAAAATCATGAGAGGTGATGTCGGAAATTAAGACGGTCAATTAGGGAGAATTAAAGCGATACACCTCCTGCTTCTTCGCCTAACCAATTCAGGAAAATGCCTTCTTTGCAAACACACGATGCTTATAAATAATGTTTGCAATTTAAAGAGGTTACCTTGTATTTTGGCGGTTTTGTTTGCGGATAAGTGTCCTAGACTAAGTTTTTGCGTCTATGAATGTCTTTCTCTGAGAGGACAGTAATCTAAATTCGAGAGTTTTGTCGCTCCCGAATATTGTTTTTCTCTTTGTACACCAGATGAAGCAAGATGTAATTAAGCAGGTTATTTATAAAACAAATCAACGTTTTGATGATTTAAAGAGCCAGATTTCCAAGTCCATATGATTTCACGGCCCAAAACGCAACGATAAGCCAAATGGTGACCCTTTGTTTAAGCTTTTTGATATTTTCTTGATCTTCGTGAACACTCAATAATATGCCCCAAAAGGTATTTCGAAGAGTGGCTAAATTAACTTTTAAGCATACGGCATAATACTTTTTGTATTGTGTAATTCCTGTTAATGCGTAACTTAGAAACAGAACGGCTAGAGGATTGCAAGTTTCCGCAATATTGTAGAATTTATTTGTTTATTCTGTTGTACATTTATAATCCTAGAACGGAATCTAAAGGTAAACGAATATGGTAAATGGGATTTTATTATAACGAGAAAATTGAGTTCCTAAATATGCTGCCAAAAAGCTATTATTAATTTTCAGGAAAGTGAAAAACCGGTCAAAAGTCCCGATTTTTACATCAAACTTGGAAAAAGGTACGTAGGTAGGTATCCGTTCATGATGAACCCAATAAAAGCGCATTTTAATAGGATATTGTATTATGAAAATTATTTAATTAGTGTTACGCATATTCATTGGTAACTTTCGTTATAGGCGCTCATTGGTGTCTGAGATGACGTTCCCTGTTTGAAAAAGTCTAAAAATATGGCCTGCATGCCCAATTGCACTAGAATGTTTGTCAAGAAACTCACCGTTCGATAGATGCTTTCAAGAAGTGTATTAGTTTAAGGTTTTGATAAACACATGAGACAGAGTCTGCATTTATGAGCCATCGATTGAAAGCACTGAAAATTGTGAAGGATAAATAGTTATTTCAAAGAAAATTAAAAACCGTACGTCCTCCAGCGCCAGAAATAACTACTCAAAAAGTTAGCGGGGAAATTCTTTTAATAAGCACAAAATGTCTGTTTAAGATTGCATCTGACAATCGGACTGACAATTTATAGTCACTGACGGGCATATCAACATGTAACTTAATGAAACATTTTCTTCCTTTTGACGTCACTATCGGAGAAATCGAGCAAAGACCCGTTTGCTGCAGTCGAAGTGAAAGACGTGCGGCCAATTCTCGTGAAACGATGTTAAACTATATTCAATGCATTGGCTGTTGGCTCACTGACATGTTTGATATCCCCCACATTAATATGTACGTCACATCACGTCATATACATCTTATTACATTATTATATTTTATCACGAAAAACAGGCGGTCTTGGGAACCATAGTTGAATACTATACGATATTAATGCGTATGCGTATTATACGTATATATATATATGTTTATTATATTTACATTTATATACACTAAAGGACTATTTACTAGTTGTTTTCGTCTGGACGGGCGTTTTATAATCCAAGACTGAGGTTTTCCGAGGTACAGTAACTGTCGACGTTTTTAAATGTTGGTATTTCTAAGCTACATTACATTAATTTCACTATTTTGTATGAGATTCTACCATCTTAGGGCCGTTCATTATCGATTCAGAAATTTAGTCAATTTGTTTGTGCCGGTTTTCTGACGATTAGCACTCTTTCGTTGAGCTCGGCGTTCTTCTTGAGATAAGTCACGCACAGTATACACTTTTGATGGTAATTTGCCAAAAACGGTTGTTGTCTCGTCTCCTATGAAACCGCTTGATTTGATAGTTACACAGACGAGAAAATAGTAACACCTTAGTCCTATCAACGGTTAGTTTGTATATTTGAATTGCCCATTTATTTGAGCATTCTGGATAACCAGCACAGGTAAATTGTTCGTCTGTAAAACTGAGACTGCATCATTGATGTCGCGCGCTGAATAAGTGTTACTATACGCACGCCAGCAGGCGCCAATGAGCGTTTTGACTGTTCACTCATGAGAACCAATAGAATACGGGTCAAAATACATTGGCAGCATAACGCTATTTTCTTTATGCCGGTGACCTGGTTGAAGAGTCACCAAGTCAATACTAAGGTATACCAGTCTCTAGAATGAAAACGCAGGATGGGCTCCCCGTACCGACATTGATATTTCTTGAAAATGTAAAAGTCAAAAAGAATCAATCCCTGGAGGAGATTGTTAAGCGGGAAAGCGAAAAGCCAAGACAGCCATCACAGTCTGGATTTTCTGCTGTCATACATGAGGACAAGATCGAATTTAGTGCCGGTAAAAGTCGGAAGAAGGTCCCCATCAAGGAGATTCTGTATGAACACATTGAACGCATCCTTCCAGATGAGCGAAAACTAAGGGTTGCCCTCGGCTGCATGACAGACAAACGCCGAAATGTTTGTTCTTTTCAATTTACGGATTATGGGGCCTACAGCACTTTCATGTACCGCCTATACGAAGCTAGGGGCTGGATAATTGAATCAGAGAGGAGTGTCTTGTCAACATCTTCATTCAAGTCCACAAAAGAGGCAACTCAGAAGTCAAGTGAAACCGCTGCATCAGTAGAATACATAATCCAGTCGCCAGCTGCTCCGATGAAAACTGACAAAATGGAACTTAAAACAAGTTATATTAGCTGGGAGTCAGTACAGGAACCGAATGACGTTCAAGTTCAGGCTGACAGTGTTGACCCAGGGTACGCAGCTTCAAGTCTGTCAGAGTGTTGCGAGTGCTGTGGCTGGAATGCCAGACGGGTCTATGCACACGAAAACACGAGGCCCACTCTTGACTGCGACACGGTGTCCATTTTGACTTGCAGTTGTGGGCGGAATACTAGGCAACTGCCACAGCAGGCCAGACAAACGCAAACCAGTCGACCTCCCAGCCCCGCACGACCGGTAGAGCGCCAGATCAAGAGCAGCAGCCGAAACACTGGGGCAGCTGATGGACGGCAATCAACTTCTCGAGACAGTTTGGACTCGCCCACTCTCTACGTACAAATCCCAAACAAACATCCATCGCCATACGAGGAGGTGCTTCCAGAATTCGACCAAGTAAAGGTGTACCGTGCGAGGCCCAAAATTACTTCGCCACCGCAGGTGGGTGATGTAGAGAACAGTCAGAGCAGGACAACGTACAGAAAAATCTCCACTGGTGCGCCATCCTCTGGTTACTCATCGGCTACTATGTTGACGGATAACTTGCTGGAGCTCACAGTATCAGGGCAGAACCACGGCGAGTATATATCTGACAAGTCGGTATATGTTAAACAGAGGTCAAGGGAGGAGACGGGCAGACTGGTATGCACAAAAGATCCTTCAGTTGCACCCCCACTGAGGCGTTACTGAGGCGGTAAATTGTGGGATTGAATGCAACAATAATGACACCAAAATGGAAGAGGACAGCCTTGTAAAAATTTTTGTATACAGTCTTTTGCTGATCCTGACTTTTTGCTGTCTATAAGAAAAGCTGCTTCCCTTGTTTAGGATAATGCTTTTATTTGGTATATGTTTAATACTGAGTGCATTTAGTAAAATACTTTACTTAAAAGTTAGCTTAAATGATAATATAGCTACAGCCATAGCATAATGTTACCTAGTTTCGATATCCGGTTGTCTAAAACTGCACAAATCTGTATCATTCTTTAATGTTGTAAGAAATGTGTTGGTTCCGTACTGTAACTGGTACAATAAAAAACACCTTAAAATGCCGATTATTCGCCCCATAAATGATAAGCAGAAAAGTGCTTATTTATGTCCGCAAGTCTAGAGTGTACTTTAATAACTTGCTTTCTAAAAACAACAACAAATTGCGATATCATGTTTCGCGTCGATTCTTAGAAATGGCTGTTGCCGCATATCCTCACAACCATGTTTGCCAATTTTACATCAAAATTATTGGAAACATTTACTCGGTTATCTCAGTAAGGAATTGCATTAGTAACCAACTTCTGGCTTCCAGAACTGCCTGGATATGCAAAAAGAAGTTTTGACTCTACTAGTAGGCATATAGATTATCTAGGCGATCGCCACGAAAGTCAGTGACCATATCTGTAAGGAATGTCTGGTGGCGCGGTTTCGTTTGCGTTTATGATCATCCAGCCTTAGCTTACTGACTACTCAAATAAAACATGAGAATTCCGTATAGAATATACTGCGAAGTGAAATGCTGCATAGGCTTGGAGAATCAGTTCCTGCCCTGTTTTGCACTTCAATAAAGGAAGTTTTATGATTCTTTCTTTTTCAATGGGGACTCGTGCTAAACGTGAGGATGCCAAACTTGTCCGGCTACTAAGGCTTCTTGTCCCACAAAATCGGGCGAATGTCGTGCCAAAATACTTGAATTTATCGGGAGCAAAGTGGAATTCAACCACTACGTTAAGCGAGCTTTGGAAAAGTGCAATTGTCATGTACGGCATTCGAAAGATACAGTATAGTGCTGGCTTTCGAAGACTCAGGAACATAGGTCAACAGAAACATAACTTATCGCGACTAAAATACCAGCGCAACAATCTGCCAATGATTAAACACTTTGGTGAGATCAATTTCAACTTCACAACGCATATCGAGGCCATTTATTGGTCGTCGTTATGCCACGATTCCGCACAAAGACATTTCTGGCGAGATGATAAGCCCCTATCAATAAATTAACATACTGTGGTTTTTAAGTTCCTTAGAAATCAAATGCGAACTTGGAGAAGATCAGTCTATTTAAGGTTTAGGCTTTGTCCCAAGTTTTCACGTATGAATATTTGGGCCTAAATGCATCAGCCACAGCGGATAACCGCGTAATATTCATTAACTGTTGTGTCATGCTGCGGCAGAATATCGGCGAAACACGCGTGTGTGAGCTTTTGACTACTACCTGTGCCGTTAGTATGGAGTCATCTTACTCTAAAATCAAACTATTTTATGACAAATCCTTCATGCTTAAGATGTCAGATCAAGCAAAATAATTTGAGAGGATCTCTAAAAAATCTGAGCTAAAATGATATTCAAATTTAAGAAGAAAAGCTGCTATCATAAGCAGACGTAAGATCCAAATGAGGTCATCTGAAATGAGCATAGAAGTATTTTAAAAATCGTCTTCCACAGCAAATTATTGATAGAAAGGCAATTAGGTCTATTTGTCAGCTTAACACCCGAAGTTTTACCCCCTCATGTAAACGTCGAGGGTTTATTTATTAAGAATACCTTTTGAAAATGAAGCCCTGACAAAACACTCTTCGTATGTTTAAGGCGTTTTGCCGTTCTGTCAGGCATAATGATGCTTGTGGTGGAAGGTTTATGTTCTATCGTATTACTTCGCCATGTTACTAACTGCAGTTTTATGCCAGTGGAAAACTGGTGTAAAATCGGCAAAAGGCTTAGCCTAGTTGTGCTAATAAACTTGATATTACGTCTCCCTCGTGAATCCACCACTTCGTTTTTGATCACATTGTACTTGTGGGTTTTCGACTTCAATTAAATTAATCGAAAACGGCTTTTTTCGCGCAACAAAGCCCCGTCAGCCATTTTAAGGGAGAATCAGAATACGGGATAATGCGTTACAATCGGGTGGGAAATAAGAAGTCTGATGAGGGGTTTCTTGTATATCTAAGATGTTTTTACAAAACGCGATGACGTCGCAGATAACAACGGCGTAATTAATCATATTTATTTGCATATTCCGTTTTGCACCTAGTATTTTGTTTGTAGTAACATGCGTTATGCGTGCTTGCCGAACGAACAAGTCTGTCAGTCGTGTTTACCTAACAATCGACAAATGGTTGACAAAAGGAGCCCCTACGTTGCTTTGAACTACACCTCATCCAGTGTTTTGCCTAATAGGTGAAAACAGTCGAGTACAATCGTCCAGTTACTCCATTATTTGCTTCTCTGGTCCTCCAATATGGGCGTTCACATACCTTGAACTATAGAACTCGTAATTGGAAGAATACGGCTACTACAGAATTTTGAGAGTTGCCTAGAAGTGTAATCCCAAAACCCATTAGAGTTGTGTTTAGAAAACAGAGCTTATAGTAGTGGGATAGAATTTTCAATTATGATAAAAAAGAAGCTTGTGGATAGCAAAGGTATCAGTCGCTTTAGGCAAAGGCCCACACGAGCGTTGAGTTATAGAAAAAAGTCAGTTAGTGAAATCCAAGCAACAGTGAGTGATTTTCTGTCCAGGAAATCGAAGTGAGAGCAAATTCTATCACCAGCCTATCCGCCATAAAACAAAGTTTTCGTGTTCCAAAAGCGCAAAGGACCACTGATAACAGTCTTTTGACAAAATGTGTCTCAAGCAAATTACGCTACTGGGGATGCAGCCGTTTAAAAAACTTCGCTTACCCTTGCATAGTGTTCTAACTAGAAAGTTATCCATGAGCGTTTTATAGGAGAATGTTTATTATAGGAGTCTTATAAGCTGCATACAGTGAATACTTTCGTACGTTTGTCCTTAAAACATTTTGGTCACCCATATGTGTAGGCGATTAAACTCTTGAGATATGACGGAGATTTAAGTCGGTAATATAGCATGCACTTTGCTTTTTATTTTTATTCGCGAAATGGGTTCAAAACGGGCAGAATCCTTTGTTGAGGAAGATTTGCTTTAACTCTGCTTGATGAAAGAAAAAATGACAGGTACATGTGAACTCTTACGTTTCCTAAAATCTGAGGGATTCTTTGCTGCTTAATATCGCAGACAGTGGCTCGCCACCTGTATACGTTTTACTGTATAAGTGAACTAATGTGAACAGCAAAAGTTTCAACTATTCCCTTTTAGACTAGAAAATGGTATCTTGAGTCCTTTTTTATCAGATGTAGCCAGTTATAAAAACTCGTTATTTTTCCAGGAAGCAAAGGCGGATCGAGGTTTGAAACTCAGATTTACAAATTGATGGCGATATTTTTCGTGAAACGCATTAATGACATTGTTTTAGAACTCTGTGTTTTATCCCGCTGAGATCAAAAACATAAACAAATATTTAAGGACATCTTGCAACATGCGTCCTCTACTCTGTCCCGCCGCGCAGTAAAGTTGTCGATAAAGTATCTCTCTGCATTTGACTAAGAACGTACACGGAATTTAGCGGTCGAAGGTCTGCCGCTCATGTCGTTAGCAAGCACTTTCAGCATTAGTAGAGTCACTCTTTGGAGAGTTGTTGATGATAGAAATGCGCCCCGAAAAAGGTGGGTTGGGACATCGTAGTCCACAAATATCCATACGACGACATTCCCTGTCGAGTCAGCCTTCAAAGCCATTCGCTGTGAGTAGTTGTCGGTGTTTCCTCTAAATCTATTTATAAAAGGATGATGGAATTTAAGCTTTAGTCATCGCCAATCACGATTAAGTCGCTTTGGGGAAAGAAAGCTGATTGGGTGTCCTTTACTTACAAAGAATGATGTTTGCCACAGGCCTTTGTCCATAAAGCGAATTACATTCTAGGTTGAGACTCCTCGGATGTACTGGCGAAAATGACCGGCATTCAATCTTCAAAACCTGCCAGTGGTTGGCAGATTGGCTGGCTTTAACTTAAAGCAGTGACCAGGCCGACAGTTGGTTACGGATAATATCAATAGCAAGGTATTAATTAACAGTGTCAAAACTGGCACAGGACATGGAAGACTCATTCAATGTAAGAAAGGCTTAATTCTTGCCTCCCCATCAAACTGATTAGACCGCTGAGAAGGCTCGGCTGTATTCGCCTACCTAAGTTAATGGTTTATTGCGTGCATTCTGATTTTTTAGAAAAAACAGTTCAAATCTGACAAATATTGATTGATAAAACCCATGTGGCCTTCTTTTTTAAAAAAGTTCGTTTCTGTTAAGCAAAAAAGCGAATTGTGTATTACAAAGATACTAAATGTTAACCGCAATTTTGAAATAGTTTCTTAATTGTAAAGGATAGCGTAGATGTTATCGAATACTAATTACGATAAAGCATAATACTTATATTTCGTTCGCGCCAGAATGCGGCCATTTAAACAGACTTACTTCTTGTCTACAGTGAAACTTATTTCAGGTAAAACGCGGTCATTAAGTGGTATGATGTAATTATAAATTAAACTATGCTTTAAAGAGACCATCTAAACAATTTATTTCAACCACTAATATTTTAGAAAGTTTATTCGTGTTTAAATATTCTACTCGGAAAATATTATATTCTAGGTTCAAGCCCTCGTATTTTCGAGTAATTGGAACCCGACTTGTTGTTGCATTCGTGCTTGCGGTTTGCAAATTATACAGTGCGTGACCGATCTGATGAAATGTTGACCAAAATTCTGGAGTGCGTTTCCGATTAAGAAGAATTACGTAAATGGGGTTTTTATATTGATTATCATGAAGCATAAACCCTATAACA